CACACTATATAAAGGTAATAAACATTTTTTTAAAGATTTCCTTGAGAGCTCTTGTACTTTTGAATTGTATTTGAACAAATACGTAGTAAAAAATAGATATGTTGAAATAATGCTTTGATTTTGAAAAAGTTTAATAGCATCATCAAATGTGTACGACAAAAAGAAAACTCAATCAACTCAATAAACCTTTTGTAATATGGCAACTAACCAAATTGTATTTAAAAGATAAATAAAATCAATAAAGTAATCGTTTAAACACTTGTAGTCAACTATTAATAGGACTCTTAAACTATGTCTACTTAAATGGGATGCTAAATATGTTTAATAAACTTTTCTTTTGTAGATTGTGTTTTTCTATCAAGCACAAAAGCATAGAATAACAAAACTTGGATAACTACAGAGCGAGAGGGTGCTGTAAGAGTCTTACAACTAACTACGTCATTTTGAAAATAAAAGAATATTTGGCAAACAATAATACAAAGAAAAAAATATATAAATATTTATTGTTAATCCACAAGCTAAAAACAACAACAGCATAAAATGAAGTCAAAACGTGGCCTACAAAATTTAACAATAACTTAAAAATTGTCATAATAATATCGTAATACAATTTCAAATTACTCCAGAAATTAGAGTATTTTAGCAGTTTAAGTTGAAACAAAAGACAACTGCAAAACAAACAAACGAAACAAAACGCCAAAAAGTATAAACAATTTAAACAACAAAATAACATCAAACAAATAATGTTAACTAGAACCCAAAAGTTAATATTGGGTGTTACAATACTCATACTGGTCGATGTAATATGGGTTACTTCCAGCGAACTAACAAAGGTTGGTCGGAAGATGTCATTAAATATTTGCATTTCACTTAAATTTGTTTAAATTTATTTATAGTTTCTTTATGAGGATGAGAATTTTAAAAAACCATTTTTCTGTACATATTTTAAAACCTCTATGTTTACCATATATCTGGTTATAATTGGTCTAATAGCACCCTGGAAGGAAACGTGTGAAAGACAAAATGGCAATTATGCTGTAAGTATGACTTAAGAAAAGAAGTTTTGAGGGATTTAGAAATTGACTTAAATTGTTTTTGGTTTCTTTCACAGATGATGGATCAAAATGTGGAGGATGATAGCTACTATTCCCACCATCCCTCCTTGGTAAGTAAATAACTATCGGAAACTTTGTTTATAGAACATTTTTGCGGAAAATTTCACTTTTTCTATAGAAAAATTACGGAAAATTTACACTTTTCTATAGAAAAATTTCACTTTTCTATAGAAATTTTCGGAAAATTTCACTTTTCTATAGAAAAGTTTCGGAAAATTCCACTTTTCTATAGAAAAAAAATTCACTTTTCTATAGAAATTTTTCGGAAAATTTCACTTTTCTATAGAAAATTTTCGGAATTTTTCACTTTTCTATAGAAAATTTTCGGAAATGTTCTCTTTTCTATAGAAAATTTTCGGAAAATTTCTCCTTTCTATAGAAAAATGTCTGAAAATTTCTATTTTCTATAGAAAATTTTCGGAAATGTTCTCTTTTCTATAGAAAATTTTCGGAAATGTTCTCTTTTCTATAGAAAATTTTCGGAAATGTTCTCTTTTCTATAGAAAATTTTCGGAAATGTTCTCTTTTCTATAGAAAATGTTCGGAAATGTTCTCTTTTCTATAGAAAATTTTCGGAAATGTTCTCTTTTCTATAGAAAATTTTCGAAAATCTTCACTTTTCTATAGAAAATTTCACTTTTCTATAACAAATTTTCGGGAAATTTCACTTTTCTATAGAAAATTTCACTTTTCTATAACAAATTTTCGGAAAATTTCACTTTTCTATAGAAAATTTTAGGAAAATTTGTCTTTTCTAAAGAAAATTTTTCTTTTCTAAATAAATCTATATTTTCTATAGAAATTTTGCAGAAAATTTATATTTTCTATAGAAAATTTGCGGAAAACTTCTATTTTCTATAAAAAATTTGTCTATTCGATAGAAGTTTGAAGAAAAATTATCTTTTTTATAGGAAATTTTCGGAAAATTTCTCTTTTCTATAGAAAATTAGCAGAAAATTTATATTTTCTATAAAAAAATTTCACTTTTCTATAGAAAAATTTTCCAAAATTTTGTCTTTCTATAGAAAAATGTTTCAAAAATCTTGAAATTGTTTACAGAATTTTACGTTCTAAGTTTATTTACATATCAACTTCTCTTTCTATTCCAGAGTGATCCCACATTTATACCCATACGTTCGGCAGCTAGTACTAGCGTAGGTGGTGGTGCCATTTCTGGCACTGAAAGTGATGATTCCAGCATACGTTCTGTGCGTTTCAGTAAAATGGCCGAAGTACGTGAGATGTCCGCTCATGAGGCTACAGAGGCATTAATGGCACGTCTCTCCTATTCAGCTAGCATGCGTATACGCAGACAAACATCTCATAATAAAACTGCCAAAACAGCATTAATGTTTTGTGTTTTGGTAAGAACTGAAAGCCTATTTTATAAGATTCTTATTAACCTATTCAATTGTTATTACCTTAGTGGTTTTGGCCAATTATTTATTCCAAGTTTCATTGGAAATGACCGAAACGGCAGTTGTAACTCTATTGAGTTCTTCCTCGTCTCTGTTTACATTGGCTTTGGCAGCTTTTTTTCCCTCAGCAGTGGGTGATAAATTTACCATAACAAAAGTTATAGCGGTGGCCATGAATATTGGGGGAGTGGTAAGTAAATTATTAGAATTTATCATTTGTTGCTATAGAATCTTTTATGAAAACTTTTTTTTTTGTTTTAGGCCACTATAACAATCTCTGATATCCAGGATACCAACTTTTCCCGAGGCGCTTTATTGGCTTTGTTTAGTGCATTTTTCTATGCCGCCTATTTGGTGTTTGTTAAAAGAAAAAGTGATACAGAGGAAAAAATTGACATTCCCTTATTTTTTGGTAAGTTTTTTTGAAAAATAAAACTTATTACTTTTACATTATAACGGGTTTCTTTAAAGGTTTTGTAGGTTTATGGAATTTACTTTTAATGTGGCCAATATTTTTCATTTTAAATTTTACCAAAATAGAAAAATTTGAATTACCCAATCAAAATCAATTTGCAATATTATTTTTAAATGGTTAATTGGTACCGTAGTATCCGAAGCTCTATGGTTATGGTGAGTATTTTTAGAATAAACAAAAATAAAATTAAAACTTATTTATTTGATCATTTCCAACAGGGGCTGCTTTTTAACTTCCTCATTAATAGGCACCATAGCCATTTCCCTGCAAATACCTTTATCTATACTATTTGATGTTTTACTCAAAAAGAAACCCTACTCACCGCTATTTTATATAGGTTCAGTGCCCACTTTTATGGCATTAATGCTTTTAGCTTTACTTATGCGTAATGATGATTCTGATCCTCTAATGCGTTTATTTAAAGTTATTTATAGAAAATTATGCAATTGTAAAAAGCCAAATATTGTCAGGTAAATAAATAATTATAAAATAACTTTAATAGTTTTGTTGTATAAAAATATTTTAATTAAATTTTATTTCTTTATTTTAGAATAAATGATGAAGAGCAACAAGAATCCCTTATTGGCAGTAATGACTGATTAGTTTAATTTATTTTCTCTACAAAAAAAGTATTTATTATTAAGTTACTAACAATATACAAAACACACGAAAATAAATTGCCTCGAAATTTGCTCATTTAATAACAGAACGAAACAAATAAACTGGAGAAAACATAATTCAAAACTTTTATAATAATTTGGCTGTAGTTTTTAAAAGAATTATATTTTATTTTTATTCTTTTAATAAAAAAAAGCACAATATTATTTATTCTTTCCTTTTTTAATTTTTCTTCTCTATTTTTCTAATTAACCTCAGATCTCTCTCTCTCTTCGTGTTTTTATTTTATTTTTAATATAAACTAATTACATACAAAACACATAATTGTAAAAGTAAAATTTTGTAAAATTGTATAGCTTTTTAGCATTTTTAATGGTAAATTAACTATGTATGTAGTGTATTTAAAACTAAATAAATTTTTTATGTATGTATATTTTATGATTATCATTATTATTACTCTCCTTTTAGCTGTAATATTATTATTTATAAGCTCTCACTTGTATTATTATATTTAATCTTAAAAGAAATGCATTAAATTATTTTTACATTTATACTCTATAGTTTTATGCAAAACAAATAATGAGTATCATTAGTAATAAAAAAAATACCATACCATGAATTTGATGTTAAATAAAATAAAGAAAAATTCTTAGAAAACGAATATTTTGTGATTTATATTTCTAAGGACAATTTTTCATTTCTATGCTTTTAGGAAAGTAAAGATTGGCTATAAAAACCATAAAAAACTGTAGTTTCTTAAAAATGTATCCTATTAGAATCTTCAGTAAAATCTTTAACCACTAAAATTGTCTATAAAATTGGTTGTTATATGAACAACTTTAAAGACAAGTCCTTAAACTTTGGTCTAGTTAAGAAAATATTAAAAAATTTGGATCACTTCAACTTATTGTCAAAAATAATGGTTTAGATTGATGAGATGTCCCTACATGAGTCTATAGAATCTTAACAGGCACGCTGCTAGCATGCGTATACATGCAGATAAAATATCATAATACATTTTGTTGAGAAAATATTCAATATCAAAAATAACTTTATTTAGAACATTAAATATGGTTTAATCAGAAAATAGTGAAAATGATCACTTAAAAGTTCTGAATCACATTTCGGGGTGTAAAGTTGGTCACGACGAGTACATGGGCTAGGATCAACTAGTCTGAGGAGGAGGGATGGATAAATCGGGGACAGCGAGGGACGGGAGGAGTGGGAGGGGGGGGCGAGCGGCGAGCGAGCGATCGAGCGAGCGAGCGTAGCAGCGAGCGAGCGAGCACTAGCGAGGAGATCGAGCTAGCTAGCTAGCGATCGAGCTATCGAGCGATCATCTAGCGATATCGATCATCTATCTATCAGCATTGGCTTTGGCAGCTTTTTTTCCCTCAGCAGTGGGTGATAAATTTACCATAACAAAAGTTATAGCGGTGGCCATGAATATTGGGGGAGTGGTAAGTAAATTATTAGAATTTATCATTTGTTGCTATAGAATCTTTTATGAAAACTTTTTTTTTTGTTTTAGGCCACTATAACAATCTCTGATATCCAGGATACCAACTTTTCCCGAGGCGCTTTATTGGCTTTGTTTAGTGCATTTTTCTATGCCGCCTATTTGGTGTTTGTTAAAAGAAAAAGTGATACAGAGGAAAAAATTGACATTCCCTTATTTTTTGGTAAGTTTTTTTGAAAAATAAAACTTATTACTTTTACATTATTAACGGGTTTCTTTAAAGGTTTTGTAGGTTTATGGAATTTACTTTTAATGTGGCCAATATTTTTCATTTTAAATTTTACCAAAATAGAAAAATTTGAATTACCCAATCAAAATCAATTTGCAATATTATTTTTAAATGGTTTAATTGGTACCGTAGTATCCGAAGCTCTATGGTTATGGTGAGTATTTTTAGAATAAACAAAAATAAAATTAAAACTTATTTATTTGATCATTTCCAACAGGGGCTGCTTTTTAACTTCCTCATTAATAGGCACCATAGCCATTTCCCTGCAAATACCTTTATCTATACTATTTGATGTTTTACTCAAAAAGAAACCCTACTCACCGCTATTTTATATAGGTTCAGTGCCCACTTTTATGGCATTAATGCTTTTAGCTTTACTTATGCGTAATGATGATTCTGATCCTCTAATGCGTTTATTTAAAGTTATTTATAGAAAATTATGCAATTGTAAAAAGCCAAATATTGTCAGGTAAATAAATAATTATAAAAATAACTTTAATAGTTTTGTTGTATAAAAATATTTTAATTAAATTTTATTTCTTTATTTTAGAATAATGATGAAGAGCAACAAGAATCCCTTATTGGCAGTAATGACTGATTTAGTTTAATTTATTTTCTCTACAAAAAAAGTATTATTATTAAGTTACTAACAATATACAAAACACACGAAAATAAATTGCCTCGAAATTTGCTCATTTAATAACAGAACGAAACAAATAAACTGGAGAAAACATAATTCAAAACTTTTATAATAATTTGGCTGTAGTTTTTAAAAGAATTATATTTTATTTTTATTCTTTTAATAAAAAAAAGCACAATATTATTTATTCTTTCCTTTTTTAATTTTTCTTCTCTATTTTTCTAATTAACCTCAGATCTCTCTCTCTCTTCGTGTTTTTATTTTATTTTTAATATAAACTAATTACATACAAAACACATAATTGTAAAAAGTAAAATTTTGTAAAATTGTATAGCTTTTTAGCATTTTTAATGGTAAATTAACTATGTATGTAGTTGTATTTAAAACTAAATAAATTTTTTATGTATGTATATTTTATGATTATCATTATTATTACTCTCCTTTTAGCTGTAATATTATTATTTATAAGCTCTCACTTGTATTATTTATATTTAATCTTAAAAGAAATGCATTAAATTATTTTTACATTTATACTCTATAGTTTTATGCAAAAACAAATAATGAGTATCATTAGTAATAAAAAAAATACCATACCATGAATTTGATGTTAAATAAAATAAAGAAAAATTCTTAGAAAACGAAATATTTTGTTTATTTTTTCTAAAGGACAATTTTTCATTTCTATGCTTTTAGGAAAGTAAAGATTGGCTATAAAAACCATAAAAAACTGTAGTTTCTTAAAAATGTATCCTATTAGAATCTTCAGTAAAATCTTTAACCACTAAAATTGTCTATAAAATTGGTTGTTATATGAACAACTTTAAAGACAAGTCCTTAAACTTTGGTCTAGTTAAGAAAATATTAAAAAATTTGGATCACTTCAACTTATTGTCAAAATAATGGTTTAGATTGATGAGATGTCCCTACATGAGTCTATAGAATCTTAACAGGCACGCTGCTAGCATGCGTATACATGCAGATAAAAATATCATAATACATTTTGTTGAGAAAATATTCAATATCAAAAATAACTTTATTTAGAACATTAAATATGGGTTTAATTCAGAAAATAGTGAAAATTTATGATCACTTAAAAGTTCTGAATCACATTTCGGGGTGTTTAAATGTTGTCACGACGAGTACATGGGCTAGTGTATCAACTAGTCTGATGATTAGTGTATGGATAAATCTGTTGACTTATCTATGGACAGTGTAGTAGTGTAGTGTTTCTATCTATCTATCTATCTATCTATCTATCTATCTATCTATCTATCTATCTATCTCTATCTATCTCTATCTATCTATCTATCTATCTATCTATCTATCTATCTATCTATCTATCTATCTATCTATCTATCTATCTATCTATCTATCTATCTATCTATCTATCTATCTATCTATTACCATAACAAAAGTTATAGCGGTGGCCATGAATATTGGGGGAGTGGTAAGTAAATTATTAGAATTTATCATTTGTTGCTATAGAATCTTTTTATGAAAACTTTTTTTTTTGTTTTAGGCCACTATAACAATCTCTGATATCCAGGATACCAACTTTTCCCGAGGCGCTTTATTGGCTTTGTTTAGTGCATTTTTCTATGCCGCCTATTTGGTGTTTGTTAAAAG